CGCTGAGTTTTAGTATAATAAGATGCAAATTTGAAGTTTGTACAAATTATTTTTTTATGTGTTTTTTGACAGCCACATAATTTTGGGTATAAGACTTAAAAAATCTAGGATGTATAGTACAACGGTTTTCAATTCTTTATCAATATCTACCGCAATTGGGGAAGCTTTTTGGGAAAAAAAATAAAAAAATTCGCATTCGAAAAAGTAGTTAACAAATCGTTAATATCTTGCTATAAAATTTTAGGGCATGAAAGACGAAATATACAGCTATCGATATACTTTATCAAATTTGGCCTATGTTGATTTTTATTTTTTTTTAAGAAAGAAAATTACGATAAACGAATTCGTACAAACACAAACATCGAATTTTTTTTAACTCAAAGATAATACACATTGGGGCAAATTCATCTAAATGCGTAGTTTTGTATAGAAAGCCGGTTTATTTACGAAGTTCACGCGATTACGAAGCAGTTACGCGTTTAGATGAATACCCTGTTTCTATCTACATACATACATTTATGTAAGTAAATATGTAAGTAAATATGTATCAACTGTTTTTAGGCATCAGCAGATTAAGACTTTTAATGCTCAACTCAATAGAGTTAGTCCAATTTAATGTAACTTTTGAAAAGTTGCTTTGTTTTTCAGCTTCCAACGACGAAGTAAATCCCTGAAAGTCTGAAAGACTAACGCATTTGTATAGACAAAGGAAATCAAAAGCTTACACACTTGAATTGGTTTTCTTAGGGGGTGGAAATATTTTTGTTTTCATTTAAAGTTTAATTTGAGCATTTGTTGCTTTACTTTTACTTGATACCCTACACCACAACTTGGTGGCATTTAAGTTATTCGACACGCAATTTCATGAACTGCCGGCCGAGGAAGTCCAATTTTTGACGCCTTTTCATTTAATGAAAATAATCAGTTATAAATGCCTTGCTATTCATTTACAATAACTAATTGCGCAACAATTATAGACGCAGACATAAAGAACTCAATCTAGTGAATATAAGTATGTACATACGTATATGTATGTAGATATGAATCTTGTATCTTCAAAGGA